CGTATGCTGTCGCGTAAGGAACGGATCAACGGCAGCTGTTCATGAACGCCACGTTTCAATGGCCTGAGAACCACAAACGCAATATAAAGTACAAACAGCAACACATTTCCTCAAACGCTTCTTGTTTCGATGCCGCACACGGAAGTACTATATCTGATAGCGACGTGTTTCCTGGTGTTTCGGTCGTGAGAGTTCGGTGTCTTTTTTTTCTTCTCGCCAGTACCATATCGTTTACTCGATCGTAGGCTGCTATCGGCGAATCGTAACCTGCCGCACGATTCCCACGAAGCCACCTGGTTCTGATCCAAGGAAATATTTGGAGTGTACGTTTGAGTTTGCCATTTGAAAGTTGGTCTAGCCCTGTGTGGGCCTTTGGGGCCGGCGAAAGCCAACTAGGAAGCGACATATGCATTTCCAACGGCCCCATGCGCGACTTAGTCTCCATCTGTACGCACCACAGAGGTGATGACTAGACATCATAAAGAAAAACATTGTCACCAGTGCGATCTGCTGTTGCTTTAGCGTCCCACTGTGAACTAAACCACAAAGGCACTCTTTGTGGAGTAGTTCCCCGGAAGGACCAGTCAGACCGATCATACGTGCGTGTTTTATGACACGCCTCGCACAACGACAGAACCTGTTGTCTCGCACATGTATGAGGGGTGTCTGCGGACAATTCTGGGATACATGTCTGCCGTGAACAACATGTCTTTTGCATGATGTATTCGCAGTCCGAACGCGGCTTAAGGTTGTCGAAGCTGGTAGGAAGAACTTGGAAAAAATGGATATCTTGGGAACATCAGCGAGGCAGCTTAGCCCACGTTTAGCCAAGAGACTTAGCGCCTTCAGTTTTATTTGTTTGAGTCAAAAGTCGGACAGCACTCGGCACTTTTCAGGCACTTTCGTATTTAATGACTTCTAGAAGATGTCAACCCCAGACTTTGCATTGCTTGCCGCGCTTCACTCTTTCGCGAAACGGCAACGGTAGTAGCCAGAACAGTTTCACTGCACCCATTACTATAATTTCTCGTAAACAGTGAAACGGTCTATAGACCGACACGCGGAGCGGCTCTGTTTACCAACACGGCCGGAAGGCCGCGCATGCGCGGTAGCTATGTGGGCAAAAGCAGCCCGGCTGTCCGTGTTTTCGCCATTGCGCTCTATGGCGTGCGCTCGTTGTTGACGTTGTAGGGACGCTTGTATCTTTATTTGTGCGTCGTATTTCCTCATAACGTATGTCGTATGCTATGCCCGACTATTTGAGCTCGTTGCCCGAGCCTGAACGGTAGCGGTATCGAAACAAACTGTGCGTGGACGGCGTTGCCTACGAGGATTCGTACGCCGTAAACAAGGCCTGCTGGACTTCCGACGTAAAGTTGCTGCTACGGAAGTCAACGGCTCAGGTCGTCGTTTATTCAGTTTTTTTCGCCAAGCCAGTTCACGGCCGACACGGTACAGGCGTACAAGTCTCCCGAGGTCTACGATTACATCGAGTCGGTTTCCGCACTGCCGGCGGGATCAGCAGACTGTGGGTCTGCGGAAGTGTGTGTATTCATTAATTGATTAAATACACAGAGCGTCTTCAAGTCAAGGTATGATATTTTTCATACCCTCTTGACCACAAGGCATTACAACCAATAAAGGTTTGTCCGTTCTGCAGTCTTGACGGTAACAGGTTACAAGTAACGGCGTTACTAGGAACGCGTTACTTTTTTCAGTAACGTAGTAACCTATCCGTTACGTTTTCGGCACAGTAACGGGTAACGTACTTATGTTACTATTTCAAGTAACGTAGTTACGTTAATCGTTACTACTTCCCAAGTCTTAAATAAATTACACTTCAATTGTTTCCGTGTTTTAGGCGTCAAGCCATGTTTTTCGTTGCGTTTTTTCTCGTAAGTATTTAGGTGAAACCGTGAAAAGAGCTAAAGTAATTATGTTCAGTTTCTGCATGAACACAATGTTTCTTGATATATGACCTGTATCGTCAAAACCGTAAAATGTGTTACATCATAATTTAAAAAAAAGTAACGCAGAAGTAACGTGCCTTACTTTTTATTGGTAGCGGCAACGCGTCCTTTTATTTTTAAATAATGTAGCTCAGTAACGCGTACCTTTTATTTGCAAGTAACGAGTAACGTATTTCGTTACTTTTTTCTTGGTAACGCCTACAACACTGCCGTTCTGTCGTCGATCCCCTTCTGCTCGGTAGCACGGGCGTAGCGAGCCTCCGACGAGCGCTTGGGGGGTGCCCGGGTGCGTTGTGCGCGAACACCGTGGAAACAAAATCCGGGTGGTCTCGATCAGACAACGGTTTCCCTGCACATATGCAAGCCTCGGGACGGAGATTGAAATGGAAGCCGCACTTGCCTCCAAGAAAGTGTTTGCCGCACAAACGGTCGTTCGCGCGAGGCGACCATTCTTTTCGATCCACGGATATTATCCACCTTCTATGCCTTTCAGAGTCTGCCGGGAACTTGGGGAAACTCACTCCGCTACTTTTCTTGTACATTTCGGTGCAATTAACGGCAACACAGCTTCGCGGCATACTGAAATGCTATGACGCCCATGCGAAACGTGCGCGCTTTTGCCCACACCCCCCGGCTCCGGCGCGATCGCAGCGCCGCCGCAGCTCCGTGACGTCAAGCCCGCGTGTCGGTGTATATTAAGTTCCTTGAGTTTGATACCGCGTTGTGACGTACGCGCGAGTTGGAAAAATGTTCTCTAGTCTCACAAGCGCTCGCGCACCAAGTCCCAGCCGAGGCTATGCGAGCTCGGGTCTCTGAGCGACGGATAGTTTCGGTTCTGGAATGTTCTGCGTCCACTTTGTGCACGATGAGTGCAGTCTGAGTAAGTCAGATGTGATCTTGCTTTGCGCGTGAAATTCGTCCTCTTCTAAGTTACATTGATCGGTGCTGCGTTGTGGTATCCCTTAGCAAAAAGAGACCGTACTTCAAACGAAGTTGAAATATATTGAAGACGAATATTCATTTTGTATTTATTCTGTATTATTTTGGCCGCACTCGAAATACGCTCGTAAGGTATTCAAAATACATTATAAATATGAATCAAAAAATATTTTAGATATACCAAAATATCATCCCTTCACACTCAAGATGCCATTTGTGCATTAAAAACCGGTCAAACAATTTTTTTTTTATTTTCGATTTTGTCAGCAAATGGTATCCCTGTGGTATTTGAAGGCACTACTAAATACATCTCACAAAGCTACATTAGAAACGAACACAAACACAAACACCATGACGCACTGAACAGCTCATTCACAGTCCCGTTGACTGCTCTAGAGCCTTATATAACCTACATATTGAAGGTAATCATTTTTTTTTCGGTGACCACCTCTGCGCTTATTAAGGTTCCAAGTATTCGATCTTCTCTTCGGGAGTCTGTCAAAGGGGAAACAGTGTTTGGAAGTACGTGGCCGATGTCTCTTACTAAAAAACATTGGTACAACTAATAACAATTCGGCGCACTCCCTAAAACAATATCCACACAAACGGCTCATAAAATACATGTTATTGTTTCTCTGCGTAGCACCACTCAGGACGAAGCGAATCAAGGCAGTTTCTTCACTTTAAAATACTGTAAACGACTTTATTTTTGTGAGGACCTAAATCTCGCAAAGTTCGCGAATCGCCTACAATTCCGAAAAATAGGTCCCGTGAACTATTCCGGCAAAATGTAAAAGCATTAAAATCTATATTGCGATCCCAGCGTGTCGCGAAAATTAGAATTTGCGAATTATTCCAAAACTCCAACTTTGACCTAAATCGCGAAATATTGAGCCCGCGAAAAATAAGTATTTTACACTAGTTATTTTGCCTTTCCTTTTTAGTAGTAGACTATTTAATATGGTAGTTAATGTCACTATATTAAGTCACTATTCACATCACGTATACCAGCAGAAGCTGTTATACTAACCGGTCAATGAAGTTTGGTTTGACAAGTGAGGCCATCTTATGAGGAGTTTTCGCAACTCTGAGAAGGCCCGCGGCCGCGATCACTGAACCCGATCTCGAGCTCGAATCTCCGAGCGCCGTTCCGAACAGTGACTTAGCGCTCGTGACCAAACGCTCGGTGACTTGGCCTTCCCAAAAGTTCCCCTTTTTGGCCACCAGTCACGCTGACTAGCAGCCGACCGAGACGCCTCCTTCACTGCCCTGGGACCATAGTCACTGATAACTTAAGAAACGCCGGGCGCGGCTAATGATGTTCACGCTTCCTGCTTCCTGATTGGTTCTGCAGTGTTCTTATCTTCTGATCCCGCAAGCTGATTGGTTGCAAAGAGATAAGATGTTCGGGACTCACCACGCCCTGCCTCTCTTAAGTTATCAGAGACTCCATAGACGTTCGCAAGCACGGCCTCTGGGCGCCGCCATCTTGCTTCTAGCGTGAGCAGATCGTCTGATAATCAAGAATTGCTGACACAGTGGGTACGCCTCAGCATATGCTTGACTATCAGACGACCTACCCACACCAGCAGCAAGATGGCGGAGCCCTGAGGCCGTTCTTGTAAACAACACGCTTCTGGGCATCTTCGGAATGGAAGGTGACATTCCACTCAGACTTAAGGAAAACCCTCAATTCCACTTTTCTTTCTATTTTTTAGTGAGGCGCTGTTAGCGTGTTTCCTCCTCCCCCTCCCTCCCCCCCCCCCCCCCCCCCCCCACCCCGACCCCCCGAGAGTAGCTTGTGTTGTTGATCAGTCCACGCACATTTTCCATTGTCCATACACCATACAAAAGACACGGAGTTTCTCCGGAGACATGATGGCAAATTTATCCGCAGATAAGCCTCAGGCATGTTCGAAGCACGTTATGTATGTTTAGAACGTGTTTGCGGACAGTGTTTTGTATCAGCAATGTGCCAGGTCCATCGTACAAGGAAGGAACATGCCCCAGACACTTTCTGCAAATTGTCATTTCGTATGATGTAATAGCAGTGTGAACGAGGGTCAAGCCTGCTTTCAGAAGTCGTCTCACCTTGGGCGAGGGACTGGGCCGTGGCCGCGGCGGTGGTCACCACGTGAAGCATGAGCCAGCCGACTCCGAGGAAGCGGAAGTCCCACTTCCGCCATTTTGTGCGTGGGCCGGAAGTCGCCGCCATGACGCCGCCGCTCCACTTCCACCCGCGGCACACCTGTGAAAGGAGGAGCAGAGGAAAAAAAAACGGGCGCTTATTGTTGCGGTCCGCGGCAGCGAGGAGACGGCAAATGAGCTCGCGCTTTGTGCTTGGTGGCGCCGAGTCGATCGCGCCGGTGAAAACGTGCTCGGCTAATTGAGCGAAATTGGGGTCTACTGCGTGGGAAAACGTTTATGCTGCTCTGTATACCACGGACAAACCGTTTGGATGAAAGCGAGTTGATGAACTTCATTGTGGTAAACCGTGTATGCATGTTCACCGCTTCGGGCCGACATGCGTCTTGGAATCAAAAGAAGGACGCACGTTCTAGGAGCGCTTTTCCACGTATCTGGAGTACAGACGTGTCTGGACTAATGGCTCTTAACTAGTTCGATCGACGCCATGAATGTGAGGTTCTCACCGGTGAACAGAAGAAGATCTAAGATATGGCGGGCGTGGTAGGAGCGAACCCTTTAAATCGAAGCCTCCACAAGCATAGCAGAAGGCGAAGTAGTATAAGGACCGCGATAATTTATATCGATGCTGTACATCTTTAGATATGCTTCCTTCTAAGCAAGTTAGACAAACAAATCTATATCCAACGGAATTCTCCTAAAAGAATCAGACTAATCTAGAGTGCAAACTTGGGCCTGTCAAAGGATGAATAGTTTATACACACCGGCAAACAAAAACATGCTTGTCCATTATGACGATGCAATTAATGTAAAGGTGCAAACGAGCTGAACAAGAATGACAATAATAATCTCAGGAGAAAAGGAACAAGCGGGACAAAGGACAAACACAAATTTCCAAACACAGCTCGGTTATGCTGGTTCAGACCCCTAAAAGTAGTACAAGGATTTCAGCTCCCACGAAGCGCGTGAAGCCGGCATAATCTTCATAATGCTTCATTAAAGAAAACCTACCGACATTCAACTGCGTTTTAGCACAGGGCTCTTGACATTAAAAAAGAGCGGCACAAAAACCGTAACACAGCCGCTAAGTTTATCTAACTTACCTCTCAGTAAATGTAGCAACATTTAGTAACCCCCGCTAATTAATTGTCAATATTCGATAATGATAATTAAACAATTATAAAACACATGCAGGCCTCTTTGCCCTGTCTACTTTGTCGCTAGCAACTTTTCCCGTAGGATTAAGACACGCTTAAATATCTTTTTTTAATTAAACCATCCCATCTGAAGTTCCAGTAAATGGAGCTATAAACGCAAGGAGGCCACGCGCAACAGCTTCATTAATTAGTTGACGTAAAAGAACACCGCGCTGTCGGCGGAAACACGGAGCGATTGGAAGATCACGAGTTCCATGTTGCGGTGGACACCAGCGATTTTTACTTTTTTATTTTTGTTTATTTTGATATTTAAAGACGGCGTTTCTAATCGCCCAATTTTGAAGTTAGACGGCGTCGAACGCTCCTTCGAACGGGACAAAGTGGAGTAGATACGCTCCGAGCGCATCGTCACGTGCCTGACCGCTATCTTCAGGCGCTGGGCCCGAGCAGGATCGAACTCGATATTATCGGCTCACCCATCATTATTCGCTGGGGGGCCGTTTCTTCGTTCAACTACGCCTGTCCGCTTCGCAGGACAATCGCCGTCTGTGCGGGCACGCACTATAGCGCTTCGTTGCACCCGTGCCGCCGTGGAGCTGTCGGCATATCTTCTGCGGTTCGGCCTTTTGTTTATGACTCGATTGCGGTCTAATTTCGGCCGTTCGCGGAGTTTCCTTAATTCTGCGCGGAATTGGGCGAGCCGTCCGGGGTTGGGGGAAACAAGGCTACTTTAGAGAAGCATCGGAGATCGGGCGATAATTGTGCCATCTAAAATTGGTCGGATTGGCCTGGATCAGGAGCGTATTCATATAAGAAATAATCGCTTACGAAGTATGAAGTATAGACTACTTTTTGAGTCTTCTGTTTTGTGAACTTAAGTTAGGTTTCTGTTCATTGGCGTCCCAAGAGGATAAAGAAATAACACTCGATGCATTGTGTTGACCTTGAAAAGAGGGCTACTCCGGCGCCTTTTTTTCTTAGGAACCCCAACTATACTATATTTTCGGAATCACCGGCCTATACCCTTTTTGGTATGCTATTTAGTATCGCGGAATTCAGAATAGTTATTGTGAAATCGGCACGTGAAAATGATGCCAAAACCAATATTCAAATATATGCGCGCTTTTCAGTGCCGTGACGTCACGGGAAGGCAGGCTTGCAGGTCGAGCGGGCAGCCTAAAAATGAATTCTATGCCGAGCATTAGTTTCGTGCTGCCGCGCGGATGCTGGAGCGAGCTTCCAAAACATTCATTTTCCACCATGAAACTTCTCGTAATCAGTTTGGAACAAAGTCTACACTACAAAAAATTAACCCCTGCCTTCCGCTGACGACGTCACTTTTTCAATGTTGCCCAGTAGAGACTTTCACTTTGAAACACGCGCTGAGAACCAAAGTTGTAAATTCCGTAACTTCGCCAAAAATAATTTATTTTAGCCCAATATTTGGGTTACTATTTCAGCGGTGTTCGTTGGTGGGTTTAGCAAAATTTCAGGCAAATCGGGGACTACGAAGAAAACGCCGGAGTACACCTTTGAGAATTCTCGACTGGTTCTCGGATCGCGAAGGGCGTGCCAGCTACGGGCAGACATGCACGTAACGCGCTGAAGGAAAGGCGTTGCATGTACCTAGTTACCTTTTTGGGTAACAAAGTAACGGCCTATTTGCTTTTTAGGAGAAGGAACACCGTAACGCATTTTCGTTACTTTTCGGTGAAGCAAGGAGTAACGGTATTTAGGTAGGTATACTTGTGGAGGGAAACGTGCGCAACAGAAGTACTCAACCTGATTCTCACCCCAGCTCGCACCTGTAATTAGAACGGGAGAAAACGCTAGGTACGCTATAAGAAGATACGAACAACCATGTCAGTATAGCCACGCTTATCCTTCAATGAACGCGCTAAAAAAGCAAGGTATTAGTAACGAAGACAAAGCAAGCATATTATAACCGCTCAATTATCATATCTCACACCGAGATTATCGTTTTCGTGAGACACTTTCCGCTGCAATCGCCCATTCTCAATTAACCCCGTGTACTGTTTGTCTCCTCTAGTTCGCATTCCAAACTTCTTTAATTATCTTGACACGTCGTTTCTTGACATTATCAATGATAACCCTTTGTCGTTCAAGAGCGTTCCACTCTCGTTATAATGTGTTTTTGGAGATTCGTGTAGTGAATATTTTTGGTACACTACCGTTAGAGGCCCATGGCTGTTGGCAGGCGCAATAAATAAATAAATAAATTAATGAATAAAAATGACACATTCAGCATAACAAGAAAAAAAAAACGCGTTACTTTTAAGCTGAGGCAACGCGTGAAATTTGAATCGGAAAAAGAACTAACGTACGTTACTCTTTGGGTGACAAGCGGACAACGGTATTTCGTTACTCTATTGCAGTGACGTGTACATGTCTGGTTCTGGGCATCGTGATGACCGCAGGCGGACTCCGTCTCTTATCACCTCAAGGGAGCACAGAACGTTGGACTCTGAACATATATTTGGTGGAGTTGGAGGACCAACGTTGTCGATTCTCGGTAAGGGGACAGCTTGCAGTGAATGTCTAGTGCGCAACAATATGACTGAACTGGGTGATATAAAATAAAACAAATTCACGCATTCCTGCTGAGAATATATTTCAGAGCAAGATAGGTAAGTACGTTGTCCTACAAATAAACTTTGGTACAGATGTCGCATCCGGCTCTTTTCGACTAACGACCGCTTATGAAAGTGGCTCGATATTTTATTCTAAAACTGAACAATAAAATCTAATGAAAAAAAAATTCTATTTACGTTTTCAGCTGCAAGCGTCTTTTTTTTGTGTGTGTGTGTGTGAGCAAGTTTTACGATTACTTTCTTTTACCACGGACGATTACCTTATACCTACGCATAAGTTTCGGAAAACAATGATTGAGAAAGCAAATGAAAATGCTGAAAACCGCCCATATGAAACATTTTGAGTTCATTTACAGCACTTTATTCATGTCTTACGTACCTCATGTGCAGTAAGAACTCTAAAAACAATCAAGAACAAAAAAAGAAGAAGAAGAACAAGAAGAAGGAAGTTATGGGCTGTTTTTTTCTATCACAGACTTCTCGTTTCACATGCCCAAGCTAGATTGAAGCTCTACGTAGACTACGTCTGTGTTTGTACCGTTATATGTCTGTGTGTCGTGCGCGTGCGCTCGTGCCTATTTGTTTATGCCTGTACGTCTGCGCATGACTACAAAAAATAGACAAAACAACCCCGCATGTCTGTTTTGTTTTAAATCCTCACAGCCGCTATCTCGAACCCAAAAAGAAAACAAAAGAATGGCACTAGCGGGTTCTAGGTTCCTTTGTTCACAACCGTAGAGGCTTAAGAAGTTGCTCCGAATGAACTGGTCATACCATATCTTTGCCACGGCAAGCAAAATATAGATCCTGTGACCCAAAGTCCCGAACACGGTTTTTACTGTTCCAGGATACAAAGATAAACTTGCTCCACAACAAGAAGCCTGACGCCATATCGCCGAAAGGAGACCGACGCGGAGTAAGCAGGCGACCAGAAAGCCATAACTGGGCCGACCGGGCATTACAAAACCCAGACACGAAGCGGGGCATTGTCTTAGACGAATGTACCTGGTCTCCCGCTGACCAGCTGACGGCCGGGCTCTAATTATGGACTGCTTCGTTAGGAGGGGGCTTCGAGCTTGGTCCTTCAGTTACGTCGAGTTGGCGATGGACAGCGAGATATACCTTTTGCCTAGCCAGTCGGGGAGCCGTTTCTGGCCCTTGCCAACCGCTTTTGTGCTTTTCGCCGGCCTGGTCTATTGTTCTTTTGTTTGGTCGCTTTCTGAAGTTGTGGGCAGTTCCCTTGGCCGACACCTGTCTTTCGGTTGGGATTATTGTTGTGGTGGTTCAGCCCGGTGGTAGTGCTCCTTGCGTGGACAAAGCTATATGATGTAACA